ACTCACTTTATTCCATAAATTAAATCAAATCTAAAACACTTTATATACAATCATCCCCTCAAAGTATTTCTTTCTTACCCATAACCTTGATCAATGAGCTAACTCGACCTAGTCGTCACGTTCTACCGTTGAGACTTAAATTTAAGCTCGTTTGAGGTTCGTTAAGTTTGATAAAAGAATTTACTATGCAATTTTTTAAAATTTTAACATAATTTGATTTATCAACAAACCGAATTCGACATCATTTATTACGAGCTAGCCAATAAAGATTAGAGTTCTAGCTCAAGCACCAGAGCTCAAACTCCATATGTACGGACTAATATAATGATAATTTGTTTCTTTTTTTGTTTGATTGTATTTAAGGTTTCACGCGGTGCTTTTACGTGAGAAGACACGTTTGGCATTTTGAGTAATGATTGGGAAAATTGATCACTTGTTGAAGTGGAGTCGAAGCACCATTTCATATTTTAGAGTCAATTTGATATATGTTTGTACTTGTTGTATAGTGACTGCTGGTGAATGTGAATACTTGATATAGTCTTGCCCATATTCAATTCCGAATATGATGTACAAATAAAGTACAAATATTATACCCGTACAAAGCTGCCCAATGTTTTGAAACCTGGTCCACACACTGATCTGGACTAGCCTGTCAGCATCGGGGTTATGGAGTTAATTATATTAAGAGTTTCAAATGTTATCTATTATTTTTATTTCTCTAATAGATTTTAGTAGAAATGACAAAAATAAATATTTGCACGTAAAATCTATAGTTTAAAGTATTAATGTTATTGTTTTTAATCATAGACATTTGCCACACAAATATATGCAAAAACTTTTTATTTAAGAAATTAAATATATTTTTTACAAGTAATAGAAAGAAATAGTTTTTATATAAATTTTATACATCAAAGTATTAATACTATTTCATTTTCTTTAAAAATTTACCACATAAATCAATATATACAATAATTCTAATTATAAAAATTAAATATTTTTTAAGAATACAACAAAAATAAGTATTTTTTACATATAAATTTTACATCTCAAAGTCTTAATTTTATATTTTATCCTCATAAATATATACAAATAAATTTAATTTTTAAAATAAATTATATTAAAAGGTAAAAAAACAAATAAATAAATAAAAGCAGGTTGAGTCATGCGAGATCAACATTCAAGTCAGCGATATTGATGCCAGATCATTTAATAACCGGTATAATTACACTAACCAGCTCATCTTCAGCTCTAAATTGAGTTTGTCGACTCATTGGGCCAGTACGAGTTTCAAAACACCAAAAAAATTAAATATGAACAACGAATCATACAATTTAAAATGGTTGAAACTATTGTTTTGCATTAATTTTTTAAAGGTAGAATTGCAAATACAATCTTATTTTTCACATTCTTCGAATTAATTATTATTTTTTACATTTGAAAAATAACACAATTTGATGCACTTGATGGTAACAATTAAAAGAATTGTGATGAAATTGTAAAAACTTAAAATAGTGCATTGTGATATACTCTTATATTTTAGAATTAGTGCATCGTATCATTATAAATGTTTGTGTTTAAAATGTGTTGGACTATTATATTGTGCACTATAATAGGAAATTGTCTATTTTATGTGTGCATGTCACATAAGCGGTGGACATATTAACATGTGTCCATCGTGGATAGAGGAGCATTTCCGTTATTTCAATATAAATACATAACTTTGAAGCTAAAATGTTATATTCTAAAAATGTATAAAACGAATCTATATCTCTATGTATCTATATTTATATAATGAATCAATCCTTATTGCCATAATAGACATGATTTTGGACAGAAAATTTTTTTGTCTATATTTGACATTTAATTAATATTTATTTATTAGCAAATCTTATGCATGAAAAATATATTTAATTTTTATACTCTCAATGACTATTAGTCATTAATTACAAATTGGCTTATATTGAAATTTTGACCGTAGATTTATTAGATATATCTATCTATTCTATATCTATATAATGACCAATCCGTATCGCCATAATTGGCATGATTTTGTGCGGGAAAATTTTTTCGTCTATGTTTGCCATTTAATTAATATTTATTTATTAGCAAATCTTATGCATGAAAAACATAATTAATTTTTATACACTCAATGACTATAATTCATTAACTATAAATTGGCTTATACTGAAATTTTGAACGTAGATTTATTAGATATATTTTCAATAAGAACTTATATTAATTAAATAGTAATTTATTGACATAATTAAAAAAATTATTATGGAAATTGATTTAATTAAATATATTATCATCTATGGTTGTAGGTATTAATTTAATTAATTATATTCAATTCAGAAGTACTTAAAATATCTAATAAAATAATCAGAATAACTATGTTTAAATCATACTAACTTAAGAAATAATTTGAAATATTAATAAAAGTCTCTGAAATGTAGTCCATTTAACTATAAAAAGGTATATCCCCATTGAATATATCATATGCGGTGATAATACTATTGAAACTTAAATAATATACTAATAGAAATAAAATTAGATGACTGGGTGCAATTCAGAATTATAAATTTCACATCAGAAGTGTCTATGTACATTAAAAAACTATTTAATTTTTTAAAATATATATTTTTTTCTTATATACTATTTTATAAATATAAAATATGTTAATACAATAGCAATGTATTACAATTTAAATTACAGCACTTGGTAAGTATGGAAATATATAATATATCTACTATTTGAATAGATACTATGTAACTCATTATATAGGTTGAAAAAAAGAATTAAATAAATAAATATAAATAAAAAAATGAAAATATAAAAATAAAATATTTAAATGATATGGGATATTATATACTTAAAGGAGTAAACCAGTTTACTAGGCCGGTCAAACGGATCAAATATCAAGAGGGTCACACTGGTCGAATCGCATCGAGCAGAGCGATGGAGGTTGAACACTATGAGAACTAGAATTTCCATAACTTCACGCCATTAAACGCTAAGATAAGAGAGGTGTTGGTGGCCATTGAGATAAAAATAGATGACAAAGATGTGACGTGGCCTAGGTCGAGGTTCGAGGGGCCGACGCAGCCGAAATCAAGGAGATAGTGTCGATTTCATAAGGATTATGGCCACATGACGTAGGACTGTCGGCACCTCAAGGAGGAGATCGAGCGCCTTATTCGAGCAGGGCATCTCAGGGAGTTTGTTTATCATGATAGGGTGAAGGGGAAAGGCAAGAGGAGGTGTCGAGAGGATTTGGTGGAGAAGATGATAGGGATGATGACGAGGAGGACGATGCTCGAGAGGAGTGAGGTGGTCGAAGGGATGATGGAGGAAAGAGGAGGCGAGAGAGTAGCAATCGAGGTGAGCAGGGAGGTTTAGGCCTCATGAAAAAGGGGACGATATACATGATTTCTGGAGGGCCAACGGATGGGGACTCAAACAATGCGAGGAGAGGGCACGTTCGGGAAATGAAGCGAACGAGAGAGGAGGTGGGTATCACAACTCGAATGCCAGAGATTAGTTTTCAAGCAGAAGATGCTGAGGGAGTGGCGTTTCCCCACAATGATGCACTAGTGATCACAATGGAGGTGGCGGGATTCGATGTGAAGAGGGTATTTATTGATACGGGGGCTTGGTGGATGTCATGTTTTATGATTGCTTTACGTAGATAAACAGGGAGTTAAATTTGGAGCTGAAGCCGGTGGACACCATTTGCTCCATCTCCTGCCTGGTCATCACCAACAGTTGACTGGGGCCCTGCTCCTCCACTCTCGGTGGTGCTGCTCCTTGCATCACCGCTCCCAACAGTTGAACCCCAACCAGATCTGGCTACAACAGCGCTAGAATCGCCGTCACTTGCATCGCACGAACCTCCTGGGCACAGATCGAGCCAACGTCTCCTCCTGGAAGCACCGATGAGGCCCCCAAACCTTGAGGAGCAGCTGTTGGGGTCATCGGTGTCTGCAAAGGTCCGGAGAAACCTGGAAGAGGGCCATCTCCAAACGGCCTCCTCATCGTCCAAGCCTCATCGAACAAATTGATTCTGGGAATTCCGTCCGCCATAGCTACCAAGCTTAAACAACCTTAGCACACCACTTTTCGAACGAAAGTCCCACAGACGGTGCCAAATAGTAATATCAAACACTACGACCGACTGGAAATTGGTTTGCCTTCTTCTTTCTTGCCGATATAACGCCACATACCTGAAAAGAACTCTCACGCCGGAGGGGTTTTCCAGTGAAGAGCCTTCGATGCTTAAGTCAGTGTTTGTTCTACTCAATTCCCAAGAGTAAAAATGGATAAATCGTGCTCAACAAGAAAAGCTCACCCCTATATATAGGGGTGAGATACCTGACCTAGGAGCTGCCCAGATTTGATGCATCTTGATGCCGAGACTGAATTCGAAACTAGGTGGCAAGTGGAGGATGTGTATCGATTTTCGTGATTTGAACAAGGCATACCCGAAAGACCTATACCCGTTGCCAGGATCGACCAGCTGCTCGAGTCCACCGCAGGGTGTGAGCTGCTCAGTTTGATGGATGCTTCCCAGGGATATCATCAGATCCCTCTGGCTCGAGAGGATAGAAAACGGGTGAGCTTTGTGACGAGCAGGGGAACATATTGCTACGTGATGATTCCATTTTGTCTAAAGAATGCGGGGGCGACGTATCAAAGGTTGGTCGATAAGATTTTCAAGGACCAACTATGGCGGAACATGAAGGTCTATGTCAATGATATGCTGGTGAAGAGTAAGGAAGAGGTAGACCATGTGAAAGACTTGAGGGAAACATTCTTGGCATTAAGGAGGTACGGTATGAAATTGAATCCAGCTAAATCTTCATTCAGGGTTAAGTCTGGCAAGTTTTTAGGGTACATGGTGACTGAGAGAGGCATCTAGGTGAACCCGGAGAAGGTGCAAGCAGTGATCGAGATGAAACCCCCTACGAGGATAAAGGAGGTACAAATTCTCACTGGTCGGATTGCTGGCTTGAGTCGCTTTATTTCAAAAGTGGCAGAGAAGAGCGGTCCACTATTCCGGACACTAAGAAAGAGCTCAAAATTACAGTGGACGGAGGAGGCGCATAGGTCTTTCGAGGAACTACAGAATATGCTGGCCAATTTTACCTTTATTGGCTAAGCCAGTGCAAGGAGAAGACTTGGTGTTATACATATCTATTGGGGAGATTGCAGTGAGTTCAGTGCTGTTATGGGAGGAAGGAGTTGATTCAATTCCCAATATTCTACGTGAGCAGGGTAATGCAAGGTGCCGAGAGGAGATACTCGGAGATTGAGAAATGCGCATTGGCGGTGGTCGTAACGGTTAGAAAGCTGCAGCCTTATTTTCTGAACCATAAGATGAAGGTGAAAACGAACATGCCCTTGGGAAAAACATTAGGTCAACCCTCGGGCTCAGGTCGACTAGTAAAAATGGGCGGTCAAGTTGAGCGGGTACTCGATCGTGTATGAGCCGAGAAGGGAGATCAAGGCACAAACGTTGGCCGATTTTATCCATGAGGGAACGAAGACGGAGGAAGAGCTGGAGGAGTTTGGCAAATGTTTGTGGATGGATCGGAGTCGAAGATCGGGGGTTGTTTGGACATTGTGCTTATTTTACCCAATGAAGATAGCATGGAGTTCGCCGTCAAAGTAGGATATCGAGTATCAAATAATGAGGTCGAGTACAAAGTGATCATCAAGGGCTTACAGTTAGCAGTAGTTGGGGGTGCTCGAAAAATTCAAATACATTCGAATTCCCAGTTGGTGGTCGGGCAATTCTAAGAAGGGTTTGAGATAAAGGTGGATACAATGTGGAAGTATGTGGATGAGATGAAAAAGTGGCGAGCTAACACAAATGCCTCGCGGCGAGAATGGTCAAGGAGATTTGTTATCTAAAATAGTGCAGAGTCTGGTGGATTGTAAAAGCAGAAGTGTAACCTTGCTACATATGAAGAAGAGTGTGGTCAAAGCCAAAGTAGTGGAGATAGAGGAGGTCGAGGATTGGAGGGTCTCAATATTGGAGAAGCTGAGAGAAGGAGGGGTGAAAGTGATGAGGAGGTTTTTCGAACATAGAGGAATATTGTGCAATAGGTCGTATGCAGGACCGCATTTGCGATGTGTAACAAGGGAGGAAGGTCGATATGTGCTTCGAGAGACACATGAAGGGTGTTGTAGCGATCACAGCAAGGCAGGGTCTTCGGTGGCAAAGATTTTGCGAGCGGAATATTTCTGGCCGATAATGAAGGAGGACGCCAAGGTGATGGTGACGAAATGTCTGCAATGTCAAAAGCATGGTCCACTTATCCACCAACCTGCGGAGGTGATGACGACAATGAGTGCCCATATCCCATTCATGCAGTGAGGTATCGATCTAGTGGGACCGATGCCGCAAAGAACTGGACAACGAAAATTTCTGATCGTGGCGGTGGACTATTTTACAAAGTGGGTGGAGGCTGAACCTTTAGCCAAAATCACGGAGGAAAAAGTGATACACTTTTTATATAACAATATTTGTTGCAGGTTTGGTGTCTCAAAGGTGTTGGTGTCCGACAATGGAACACAATTCAATGGCAAGCAGATTTGATCATGGTGCGAGGACATGAAGATCGAACAACACTTTGCCTCGGTAGCTCATCCGCAAGCCAATGAACAAGTCGAGGTGACCAACAGGATCTTATTGAACGGCCTAAAAACAAGATTGGGGCCGGCGTCGGGGGCATGGGTCGATGAACTCACTTCAGTACTTTAGGCATACAAAACAACCCCAAGATCGACAACATGGAAAACACCATTTAGTTTGGTCTACAGAATGGAGGCATTGCTGCGGTCGAGGTCAAGGTGCAATCTCAGAGATCGAACACCTACGATCGTGAGAAAAATGAAAACATGATGATGGCGGCTCTTGACACAATTGAAGAACTTCGGGAGCGAGCCTCGATCAAGTTCGAAGCATACAAATAAAGGATGCGACACATGACAAGAAAGTCAATGCCCGAAGATTTCAGGTGGGCGACCTAGTCTGGAAAAGGGTCGACGTGCTGAAACACGTTGGAAAGCTGGAGCCAAACTGGGAGGGACCATACTTGGTCGAAAAAATCCATGCTGGAGGTGCATACTCATTGAAGGATGCTGAAGGAAGATCCATCGTCAGGTCATGGAATGTGGCTAACGTGAAAAAATATTACGCTTAAATTTTTCCCTTTCGTAGAAAATTTTCGAGAATGATGTAATAGACGTTCCTATTTATGATTAATGAAACCCCATTTTCAATCCCCACAAAGTATTGAGTTATTAAGTTATTTTATACTTGGTGTAACCTCAGTGGCAAGTTACTTGGAGAAAAAATCCATCATGATTAAGACCGTGAGGCTGGATGGTCACATGTATCGACCACCTCTTCAAAGGTGGGCATGTGTTCAAAGGTGAAAATCCATCATGATTAAGACCATGAGGCTGGATGGTCGCATGTATCGACCACCTCTTCGAAGGTGGGCATGCGTTCAAAGGTGAAAATCCATCATGATTAAGGCCATGAGGCTGGATAGTCGCATGTATCGACCACCACTTCGAACGTGGGCATGTGTTCAAAGGTGAAAATCCATCATGATTAAGGCCATGAGGATGGACGGTTGCATGTATCGACCACCTCTTCGAATGTGGGCATGTATTCAAAGGGGAAAAACCATCATGATTAATGCCATGAGGCTGGATGGTCGCATGTATCAACCACCTCTTCGAAGGTGGGCATGTGTTCAAAGGTGAAAATGCATCATGATTAAGGCCGCGAGGCTGGATGGTCGCACGTATCGACCACCTCTTTGAAGGTGGGCATGTGATCAAAGGTGAAAATCCATCATGATTAAGTCCACGAGGCTGGATGGTCCCAGTTATCGACCACCTCTTCGAAGGTTGGATGAGCAGCCTTCTCCGCCTCGAGCGCAGCCTCGTAAGCAAATTTCTCTTGCACTCGAGCAGCCTTGTCCGCCTCGAGCGGACCCTCGAGAGCTTTTTTTCTCTCCGTAAGTTTTTGGTCCTTCAGCATCTCACGAAGCTCGTGGCGACGATGAGAGAGCTGGTTGACCTTTTCCAGAAGGACGCAGGCCTCCTTTTCGACCATGGGGATCGATTGGCCTGCACTAGACAAGGTCTGATTGACCAAGGGAACCACCTCGACCAACCCTTGTTCTCGTCACAAGAAAAGGGTATTAATACCCAAAAAACAACAAAGATAATAAGATATGGAAATATAGAGTAAAATAGAGAAGAAGTTAGATATTACCTATGCCAACCATCGGGCGAGGCGATACCCCTCGAGTTTTTAGTCCCGAGCTTTCATCTTGAAGATCGACAGCAGGGACTCTGTCCTGGAAATAGAACATTATCTCCTCCTCACTGGCCTTGACCAACGATGAAATTGGAGACCGGGTGACAACTGTTGTCTCCTCGATCTGGAGTCGTTTATTATGCCCCCCACTCTCCTCGGTGAATGGACGCTTAAGTCGAGCCTCCTCGATCAACTGTGGGTTGGGGGAGGCAGAGGATTCAACCACATGCATGGTCGAGTTGGCAGAGGGAAAGGTTGGTTGCTGATGTTCTTTGGGAGAAGGTTCCGGCTATTCTTCAGCTTGGGGGATGGTCGAGGAAGGAATAGGTGGTTCCTCGATAATTGGCTCTTGGATCGGTGTAGCATGGGTATCGTCCTCCATGGAAGAGGTCGAGTGACCATGTTGCGGTGTGGTCGAGTCGGACGATTGAGAGCCCGAGGCCTGGGTGGACTTCTTCTTCAGAGGAACTCTTCTCTTGGGCAATGGGATAGCGGGCATCTCTGCAAAGAAATCATAAAAATAAGTTAGCATTGCAACAAAAAATTTATACACAAATACTAGCACGACAATACTCGAGCACAATGATCGAGAACTACCTGGATCGCCCTCTACTCGAATAGAGTTGAGGACTTCTTCAGTTGGAGGAGACAAGGACTTATGACTAAGGAGAGCACAAAAATGCAAGAGGTTGTCGTTGCTGAGGAAAATCTTCGAAGCGAATGGCTTAGAATTCCAGATGGCAATGCGTTGGTCGAAGAGAGGATCTTGAGGAGGAGCCTCAAGCTCGAAAAAGAGTTCTTTGAGCCAAGGGGTCGAATCCTAGTGGAAACCAGTATCAGGCTCGACATAGACAAACTTATGCTTCCACTTGGGGCAATTAGAAGGAATGTCGGAGATGAAGTGAGCTCCATTACAACTTTTCAGGTAAAGCCCATTGGCTTGTTTGGAGGGCATATAACAGTAATGAAAGAAATCTAGTCCGAATCGACCTAGACGGATGTGAGAAAAGATAATGAAGGTTGTTATGAAGCGAATGGCGTTTGGGGGAAGTTGGTTCAGAGGGAGGCCGAACCAGTCACATATATCGACCAGCTCGGGACTTAAGGGAAAGCAGATTCCAAGGTCGAATTGGATCTCGAAAAAGGTGCAGCAATTCTCAAGCGGATTGTCATAAGTGTCCTTGAGGTCAGGACTTGCGAAGGCCCAATACGGGGGGTGGCCGACTTTGTCGGGTTTTAGTCACCCGACAGGGCGAGGAGATGAAGAGGCTCTCCTGGAAGAAGTGGCCTTGGTCGATGTTTTCTTCTGGGGCGTTTTATAAAAAGTAGTCGCGGTCGAAGATTTGGATTTGGTTTTAGGAGTTTTGGTCATCTTGATTTTGCTCGAAGTTGGGGGTTTAAGTGGAATAGCGCGTTGAGAAAAGGGAATGTGGTCCTCGTTTTCCCCGCGAGCTGTCTCAGCGGCATCGAGAGCCACTTCGGTGGCATCAGAGGCGCCAAAAGCAAGTCGACGGCGACGAGTAACAGGGACGTGGTCGAGAATATCCTCGTCTGATTCATCGATCAGACAAGAAGGTTGAGGTGGAGGAGCAGTAGGAGTACTATGAGAGTCAACAGAGCAAAGCATATTGAGCGGGATGTCTTTGTAAATTCCTTCAACGGAATTGGAAGGGGAATGAGGTATACGTCGAGGAGTTGGGGACGGTGACGGAGAAGTCATATCCTTGTCGAAGTAACGATCGTTTTTTCTTGAAATAGCGGAATCTGAAAAATAAGGGAAGAAGATATCAAAAGGGAGAAACTTTTAGGATTTTGGGAAGAAGAAGAAAAAGAAGGACTTTTCCGCCAATAAATTGGGCGAAACTTCGAAAGTAAATTAGCAAAATCAAAAAAAATTAAAAACTTAAAATAAGCAAAAACAACAAACTGGAGTTGCAGAAAACTTACTCATTGTCGTGGTAGGGAAAAGTGATCGGAGAAATTGAAGTTGCCAGAAAGTGAATCACCGAAAGCAAAAGTCGGATTTGCAGAAGGAAAGCTAGGGCACAAGTGAGTTTGAGAATTTGCAAAGGTGAAAAAGTACGAAAAATCCTAAGTATGGGTATTTATAGATGGATAAAGGAGGTAAGGCGAAGAGTTGGAAAAGATAGCCGTTGGATTAAAGGCGAAATCCAACGACTGGGAGCATTTAATGAGTACAGGATTCAAAAGGGTGCAAATTGCGAGAAGACACAATGATTGGGGTACTTGACAGATAGGACAAGTGGCAAGATTAAACTTCACTATGACATTGGAAGGGAAGGATGGTCGAGGAATAAGGAAAAAGTCACTAGATAGTCGATACACGGAGAAACACGCTAGAACTCGAAAGGTGAACATAGATCTACTCTTAGATCGAGTCACTCAGACTCGACCAGAGTGGGGGGACTAGATGATATGGGATATTATATACTTAAATGAGTAAACCGGTTTACTAGGCCGGTCAAATGGATCACATATCAAGAGGGTCACATTGGTCGAATCGCATCGAACAGAGCGATGGAGGTTGGACACTATGAGAACAGGATATGGAGAATTTCAATACGAGAGGTATAAGTCGGTATTAGGTCTATGAAGGATCTAGTCGAAGATCGACCTGTCGAGCAAAAGAGCATTTGATCGACCAGTTCACAGAATGAGAGCAGTCTGAGGATCGATCTAGACATGATTAAGCGTAAGAGCCTTCAATGGAATTTCAGAGAAATATTCAGGGGAATATTTACCCATGTGCAGAGGACACGTGGCGCAGATGTATTGATCTATGGTGGTAAATGTTTCTGACACACGCACACTATGTGTGTACGGACGGGCAGGCCCGAGCAACTTTGGGTAGACAGCTAATCAAATCCAGGCAGCTCCTAGGTCAGGTATCTCACCCCTATATATAGGGATGAGCATTTATTGTTGAGCACGGGTTATCCATTTTTACTCTTGAGAATTGAGTAGAACAAACATTGACTTAAGCATTGGAGGCTCTTCACCGGAAAACCCCTCCGGTGTGAGAGTTCTTTTCAGGTATGCAGCTTTCTATCGACGATAAGAAAGAAGACGAACCAATTTCCAGCCGGTTGGAGTGTTTGACGTTGTCATTAACCATTAAAAATTTGTGTGTTGCATAAGGATTACAGTGACTAAAAATTAAAATATATCTATCAAAGTTTTCAACATTTAATGCACTTAATAATTATAGCGGAAAATAAATATTATGGGTTAAACGTTGGTCAATTATCAAGTTGTGCAAATTATGAATTGTTGAAACAATTATAAGACTATATTGATAAACGACAATTTTACAAGTACATACAAGTAATTTGTATGTAAATATTATATACTCTTATACATTTATAATATTTTATAAACTTATAAATATTAAAATTTATATATTAAATAGTCCAAAAATACAAAAAAAAAAGTTTATATATATATATATATAGATACTTACAGTAATAGTAAATAAAGAAATGTCATATTATTACTAAGTAGAATATTGTGGAGAGTATAAATTTTTGTCTTAAATAATTTTATAATATTTAAATAAAAAATATTTTTATGTAATGTACCTCGTGCATCGCACGGGTATCAACACTAGTGATATTTTATAACACAAATATATATTTTATATTAAAAATTTTATGTATAATGATGGCTTACACAAGAATTTATATATGTTTTTTAGTTGCATCTTAGCATGGTATATGATACCTATCGACCCTATATATAATTGCAGAATGCGTTGAGCCTAAGTGGCAGATTTGCACGCTTTGGAATCCTATATGACAAAAAATCATGCTTCATAGTTAGGCTTAGATAAAAATTAGTAATGTTTATAAAATAATATTTAAGCTTGGATGGCATAAAATATCTACATTATTCAATTAATCTATAATTGATCTCTTCCTTCTTTTCTTATACAATTAGTTATCATAAATTATTTTAGGTTTTCTTTTCCAATATTATCATATATTAAATTTTTTTTCTTAGTTAATCCATACACCAATTATCATAAATGTGTCTTCTGATTTTTTTAACTATTATACCATTTTNTTCGGAAGCTTGGGTATAAATTAATATTTTTTATATAAAAATAATTAATCTTGGATTTCATTTAATATCTATATTATCCATATTAAATCCATTATTGATTTTTCCTTAATTTCTTCTACAATTAATTATCATAAACTATTTTAAATAACATGTTGATGATCGGAATCGGTCAACGATTAACAAAGAGTTTAAAAGTAATAGATGAGATAAGAAAGATGAGATTTACGGAATAACTGGGCTTTATTGCTTAATTATAAGGTCGGCCTCTGATATCGAGGACGGCATATTTATTACACTTTAGATATTCACTGGAAATTATTACAGAGTTGGGGAAGTAAATGTAGAGAGAGAAAATAGTTGGTAAGAATTCAACAACCCAAAATAAATGAAGTGAGTCTTCTATTTATAGTATACTTAAATTCGACACTGGTCACGTATTGTTAACCCTGTCCTGTTGCATAGTATCGCAGGTATGCAGGTCGGCGCTGCTCTGACAGATATTAAATGCGATTTGAGGTTTCTTCAATCAGTACCTGCTAAGCATTTCATGCACTCAGAGGGAAGCATTAAATGCCGGCAGGCTATCCTGTCGAATGAGATGCACTAGGGTTGTAGGCTAAGGTGGCGCGTCCCATCAACAATCATTAGCCAACAAGTTGCATTATTCTATTGGTTTCCTGTTCAGCACTCGTCCAGGAGCCGATTCCGGAGGACCTTCAGGTCGGCACTTTACCACTGATCGATCCCTTGACCCCTGGCACCTAGCGAGACTGGCCTCGACACCTAATTGTCCAGGTGTCGGTCTAAGAGACAACGCTACTCGCCTCCTCCGTCAATTTGACTTATCCGTGAGCTCGCCACTTCCGGGTCTGAAAGACCAGTTCCGACCTCGAGGTCGTCTTTCCCCGATTCCTCACCCTTGAACCGGGAATCTTACGTCGAACCAACTCGGATGTCAACATATCTTTTTCC